TTAACACATGTTAAAAACACAACAGCCTTAATAAACGCAGAGTAGTTTGGACCCAGAAGCAGGGTTCATACGTCATCACTTAAAGACCAGATTGCCATTACATCCCATCCAGCCTCCTAAGGCAGACTTTTTTTTTGTCTCTAAAATAGGACCATTATTTCTGGATGGCCAGTATAGCTGCAGCTGGTCAATAAACGAAGAGGTGAAGGCACCATATGATAAAACAGCGTCATATCTTGATGTGGTATGAGAACGTGCCGGCTAGAACAAAATGCAGTTCAGGTTCTTTCTACTGAACGTTTCAGTAGAGCTGTCCATTGACAGCACTGGGGATGAATTCCCTCCAGTATTCAAATTTTCCCCCTACTGATTACTGCAGAGTAAAGAATTTTTATCACCAAAGTTAAAATGCCTACCTTCAATAGGAACTCCATTTTTCTTTGTTGTTCCCAGCAGCTGCCTCCCTCTGAGACTATTAAACCACAAACACACAGGATTTGGTGTGGCTCCACATGAAAAACACAGCAAGCTTACTTGATAAACAGTAAATTCAAGGTTAGGCATATAGGCTTTTGCTACAGCCCACGTAATACGACTTGCCCTAAACTTCAACTCCCTATAAACCTGTAGACTACATCTTCAGCACTGGGCCGACGTGCTCTTCTGTTAACTAAAGCACGGCTTTTGTCGGCTGACATTGGAGCTGTTGGGCACAAAGTGGTCACTAATGGCAGCTTAATCATTCTTACAACATTTAATAGGCACTTAACAAATGCTTTTAGTGTACATTTAACACCTACATTAATTAATTCCACTCATTTAGTGCTTGCCTGCTAGCTATGTAATGTCATTAAAGTAGAGCCATGCAGTAAATTGACTGTTCACAGCGATGTAACATGAGCTTCAAACATAAATAAGTGAAGAGTTGTACCAACCACAGTTTGGTGGTGTGAAAACAGCATTAGTCCTCTTTCCCTGTGTTCAACAACTGAACACCATTTTTAGCTTATTCTGACCTTTAGTAATGTCACGGTGCAGTTACACAGAAACCCTCAGTCATAATTAAACTTGCTGGTTTGTCCATGTTTCTCTTTGTTCCCGCTGGCTCTGTTTATAATCTGCTTTCTTCTTCGTTTCTTAATCTGGCCTCTGCACACAAACACAGCAGATTTAAAATCAAACAGCCAAGGTATGGATTGTAAAGCTTAGAGTGAAGAGGTTCGACAAAATTATTGCATTAATTATTGCAGTTGTTGCATCAAGTAGTTTTATAATCAGGTGAGATCTGTTACAGGACAGCTCGATTTCTAGGGATTCGGTTTAGACAACTGAACAACAAGTTTGTTTTTTTTACAGACTAAACATTTTAGCATTTTAAAGAGAGCGATTAGACATGATATTATGATGAAATTCTATCATTTCCTGTACTTTCCCAGATTACTTCAGTTCAGTATGGTTTATGGAACAGTAGTGATGTATAATACCAAGTAACATTCAGGCAGGTATTGGCAATACTGATCTGATAGTGATACTTTGTATCAGTATGCACTACAATTTCAACAAATGAGACTTTGTCTTTTTAAAGATGCGAAGAATTCCCGTCATTTAAACACAGACACAAAAACCTAGACATAAGTCACTTTCCAAAATTCAGCACCAGTGCTACACGCAGCCAACAGCTCCACATTTCATTTGTACCTGGATAGATAGTGCCTGCCTGCAGCACCAAAGGACTCCGCGAGCTATGTTTGTCTCGCCCCAGCAGCACCTGTCCCTCTCCTCCTCTTCAGTTTGCCTCATCATAAACTCATCATCATATTCTGTGTTATAATTTACTTTTGTTTCTGTTTGACAAGGTTTGCAGTCTTGCTACATTTGTCACAAACCGCGTCTCGGCTGTTAGTGGAGCTGAAATAGCTCCACACATGACTCCACTCATCAACTGAGTGAGCGAGCACAAGTGACCTGTGACGCATTTACACAGCTGTATTTCGCAGATCACTATGACAGGCGGAAGAAGAAGTAGTTCTTACCAATCATTTAGACAATCCCTGTAATACAGCTACTGTGTTCCTGTTACTCATAAAGTACAAATTTACCACAAAGTACCAAAATGTATATTTTTATGAGAATCGATTCTAAAACAGAAATATCTGGTATCGGAGTAATTGATATTTTGTATTATATCTATATTTAGTATTGATCCGCACTCCACTAGTTTATGGCAGTGGCGTTCTTTCAGGGCATGCAAGGCAAGCAGTGCTTGTCTAGTGAAATCAAAAGCAGACATTAATTAAAGCATACCAAATTAAACAATCTTGTTTCACTACACATAGCATTCTGTCATTAAATTTCTCTCATGGCTGTTTGCATTCATGCATTACTGCCATCTTGTGACCACAGATGGTTATTGTTACTAGAAACAGAATTATTTCTGCATGGTAGGAGTATGGAGTAGGCGTTCTCATGAAAGTGTCCATGGCTGGTTGACGATGGCTGGAATTTCTCAAGCTTAGAGCCAGCAGCTTACAGTTCTTTGTTTGTGCTTGTGCACTGGGGATAAACCTCTGGTCTGATGATTAGCATGCAGGGCCAACTGCTGCTGGCTTTGCATCTACTGATCTGAGCTGTGTTTAGTGACAAAACAGAGCTGGAATTGGCAAGTAGATGGAAACTCTATTATCATGATAAAAGATGAGCTTTCTCTTACTAACCACTTTGGTCAACATATCCAACATGTAAGAAAGTTTGAATCAATCATTCAGAACATTATAATGAAAACTATGATGATGGCGAGGGGAACTAATGCTCTGTTTGGCTTAATAAAACCACCAGGTGAATAGGTGCAGGTTCCCCCAGCATTTCATTACTTTATGTAGAATTTCAGATTAACTTGTCACTTGGTTTACCAAATTTACAAAGTTCAGCTGGTTTGCTAATACACCACCTTCGCTTTTCATTCAGTTTTTTCCCCACTATAGATATCGACAGCTATGTCACACAGTGCTCAAGCGATGAGCACAATGCGATGCATTACTGTGCACTGAACAGAATATGAATTATTTAAAAGAAGCTCAATGCTCAGCAATAGTAATGCTAGTAATACTGTAGGAATACAGTAACACAGTAAACCATATAACACCAATGTGGAACGTTTTTCTGCAGGAGAAGTACTTTCATTTCATTATCTTACATAATGTTTGCCAGTAATACAGTTCTGAAGTATGTATAGAAGTATGTATATGTAGAGTATGGCATGTGTAGTCAAGTATTTTTATACTATTCTGTTGTTTGTTTTGCTAAAGCATTGCTTACAGTTCTATAGAGTGCAGAGACATGAAGGGGGTTACATCCGCTAATTTTCTGTACATGCTACTGGTTTATGGTATGTAAGTATTTACTTTCAACTTAAGTGGTTAAATGCTGCAATTCGGGCATGTTAAAGCAATGGATAACATATACCACATGGATGCAGCAAGCTTTGGCAGCTGTGATGTTTTTTTGTTTTTTAATTAAATTATGTTATTATGTAGTTTGATTAGCGAGCTGAAGTCATAAAATACATGTAAGCTAAATAGTGCTAACTAACAGACTCATAAAATTATAGAGTTCCACTGTGTAATTTGTATCACACATCGAGCCATGTTCTTGGTGAGACAGTTTTTATTAGCATGCTTCAAATTGCACCAAACTTGGTGGAGAGGTGAAGTTTAGTGATGATAATGAGCAAATAACTAATTATCATAAGTAGTTGTTTTAGCAGATCATAAACAAGTACTGGTGATGGTTTGATTAAGATTGCGTGCTAATGCTATAAAGTTGGATGTCTATTAGAGGAACGGCAGTTTTTGCACTTTTGCTTTTTTAGTCACCTCTCGCTCTTGTGTGGAAATTATTGGTTTGGAACATTTAGGCAATTTATAAATTTAGCATCACAATACATGTAGCATGTGCAACATTTCCCCAAAATTGTTTTGTCACTGCTTCCCAAAGTGCAAGAATCCAGTATGACAAGATAATGTACTCCACGTTGAATTGTGTCATTTCAGCCTCACAAAACTACCCTGTTAGATATATGAGAAAAACTGATGCGAGCTGTCAAACACAGAGACGCTTAACATCCTGTAAGGGGAAATTCTTGGTGGAAACAGAGAGTTCTGGTCACACTTTTTGCTTCATCTCAACTTGAAAAGTTTTGGCTGACGGCAGTTTGAAACCCGAAATAGACGTGGAGCTCTTAGCTGGAACAGATGCACATGTTGTTTCGGCTACTTCTCGACAAGAAAAAGTGCTTGTAGTTGTACGTACATAGACACACACACACTGAGAAGAGCATTTACTGGAAACAATAGATGTGGAGGGGACACCTGCTTGCCTGATATGCACCCCCCCATCCCCCCCCATCCTCCCTCCCATCCATTAGGATTCAGTTCAGGGCTCGGCTCTGTCTCCGTGAGTAGGTTAGCCATGTGTATCATGGTGAAATCCAGTGAATGATAATGAACTAACTGTGTGTGTGTGTGTGTGTGTGTGTGTGTGTGTGTGTGTGTGTGTGTGTGTGTGTGTGTGTGTGTGGAGAGGAGGAGGAGAGGAGGTGGCATGCTTGCTGAATCACTCCCTCTATCCATCCCTCCATCCACCTATCTATCTAGCCATCCAGCTATTCCTCCTCCTCCACCACCTCCTCCTCCTCGTTGGCGGTGTGTTGGCTAGAAGGACGGCCCCCATGCTCTGACACACACACATGCAGACGCACACCTCCGCGATGTGTCACTACCCATTCCACCTGCCTCTTCTCGTCATTCTCCGCTCACTGTTCCATCTACCTACACTTGCTCTTTTCCACCCTCTAAACCTCAGTTTGTCTTTATTAATATTATTTTTTTTAGTTCTCTCTTAGTCTTGCTCTCCACCCCCCCCCCCCCCCACCCCGCCACTGTTCTCAACTCCCCCCACGCTGTGTGTCACCACTGCCGGGAAGGAAGAAAAATGCTCCGGCACACGAGAGCGAAAGGAGAAAACGGTGAAAAGAGTCAAAGGGAGAAGACGGTGAAGACTGGAGTGTGCTCGGAGCACAGCGATGCCTCCATCTGCTATGAGCCACACTCTTCTTTGATGGAATATCCCGGACAGCGGAGGGCAGAAGGAGGGAGAAGAAAAAGAAGGAGAAGAAGAAGAATAACAGGACTGAGAAGACGGGACGGCCAGCGCTCGCCTCAGGAGGGTACGGCAACACGAAATGAAAAGAACAAAAAAAACAACCCATGTATGACATGCTTTTGCCAATCATTTCTCTAACAACTTCAGCTCTTCTGTCCCTTTTGGCGTTTTTCATTTTGGGTTTTGATCTCTCTCGCTCTCTCGCTCTCTCTCTTTATTCCCTTCTCTCTGCTGAGTTGTGTCCACAGGCTCTGTTTGGGACTTTGGCTAATTGTGAAACTATTCTCCGGACTCAGGCAAAGACGAGACTTTCTATACCCCTCATTTCTTTTTCATTCTAATTAATCCCCCCCTGTGCAGACCCTCAAAGAGCCCATCTCTCTCTCTTGCACTCTCCATAACTCCAGCTCTGCCTCTCTCTACCTCACTCACTGTTTTTTTTCCCCTCACTCTCTCCATCTGTCTGCCTTTGAGAAGCAAATAATTGGATGTGGAGATTGGCTTCTCTGTGGCTGAGCCAGAGGATTGAGGCTGCACGGCACTTCACACACAGACACACACACATGAAAACACGATTACTCACACACACATACACCTGCAGCTCAGGCTGTGTGTGTGTGTGTGTGTGTGTGTGTGTGTGTGTGTGTGAGACAGAGAGAGTTTGAATATGAGCTGCAAAGATCTCCCTCGTTTTTTAAAAAGAGTAGTTTTCATCGTTTCTTTCTTCTTCTTTTTTTAAAGAATTTGCCAACTTCTGAATGTGCTCTCAAAGCCAAGTATAGACTAAGTAATGTGCCTAAATGACTCTGCTTTTTCTTTTTTGGGGGGGGAGAGAGATCCTCTGCTGAGGTTTTTTTGGGATAACGAAAACAGATATATATATATATATATACACACGTAAATATATTTCTCCTCTTCAAGTTATGGATGTGAGCTAATTTCTTTGGGGAAAAAGTATTTATTGTAATAGTATTTTATCAAAAGTATTTTTTTACAGTGCAGAAACTAAAAGAGAGAAAGAGAGAGAGTGAGCTCGAGCGGCTGAGAGACCTTTGAAGAGTTAGTGGCAGAGGTATTTCCCTGCAGAGAGGGAGAGAGAGACAGAGATGAAGAAGATGAAGAGGAGGCTTCTGAGACAACAAGACATGAGAGGTGTTGTGATGCTGGCGAAGTTACAGGCTAGCTGGCTGAGTGGAGGACACACACGCACACACACACACACACGTGCGCATGCACACACACACACATCAACACTTAGAAGAGATGTGAAGCTCTTTTCAGCACACTCTCTGCTCTGAGGCAGGGCGCCAAGTCCCCAGGGATGGATAAGAGACCTCTCAGCCGTTACACTCACACACACACACACACACACACACACACACACACACACACACACAGAGTTAGTTACCTTAACACATTTTACACACTCGCAAAGCCTCAGATGGAACGAGAGGGACTTTGCTTTGGGACAACCTTTTTCACATTTCTTCTTCTTTTTTTAATTGTGTTGTATTTCATTATTCACTCTCTCTCTCTCTCTCACTCTCTCTCCTCTTTACCTTCCCGCCCAACCACACATCTCCCGCCTCCCTTTTCTCCTCCTCCTCCTGCTGCTGCTCAGCTCCATCCAAGCTCATTGTCCTCTCAAACGCGCACACACCTCGCCACTGAGAGTGTTGCGTACACGTGCGTGCATGAGGACGGGGGTGTGTGTGCGGCCGGTCTTTCTACGCAGCAGCGCAGCCCGGCACCAGCTTTCACTCTGAGGTGAGTGTTTGTGCGCCGTCTCTGTATCTCACAAACTCACCTTTTTTCTTTTAAAACACAGTTTTTGTGTGTATTGAAGTTTGTAAAGTGTGTGTATGTCATATTATTTGAACTATTAGTGTTTGTGTGTGTGAGTGAGTGTTTGCGTTAACAGGGGTCAGAGGTTCTGCCGGTGACATTTGGATGGCAGCAGGGTTGGATATGGAGCTGAGATTGTGTCCCAGGCTGCTGGTGTGACTGTGAGTGTTATGAGCGTGTGTGTGTACGTGTATCCGTGCGTGTGCGTTGCCAGAGGGTGAGCTCGGCTCAGTCTGTACGTGCTCTGCTTATGAATTACTGACCACGGCTTGAGTTCTGCTCCCTGCTAGATCACAAGGAGCCTGCAGATAGCCTCTCCTCTGTGCTTTTTTCTTTCTCTTTTCTTTTTTCACACTTTCACATCGCTCCGTCTCTTCCTCTGTGTCTCTCTCTTTTCTCAGTCCGTCTCATTTGAGTCGGGCGTCTTAATTGGCATACCTGCTCGTGGCAACCGCACCGCCAAAGCTGTGCGCTCAATGCATATTCTCACACAACCAGTTTATATGTTGAAATAATCTCCTCTGTCACTCCCTCTGTCACACACACACACACACACACACACACACACACACACACACACACACACACACACACACACACACACACACACACACACATTCCACGGCAGATTTAAATATTTCCCGGCGGGGTTGGAGGGTGAACAGAAATAGATCTAATTCTAAATCAGGACTAGAGCTCGGCTCAGGCAGCCACACCACCCCCCCCTCCCTCTCTCCCTCTGCTACAGCCAGCAGCTACAACACTTGCACTCCAAAAGAAGAAGAAGAAAAAAAGAAAGTTCAAAGATTTGCTGTGAGTTTTACCAGTGAAATATACTGCGACAGCGTGAGAAGAGCAACTCTTCCCTCGCCAAACCCCGCGCTGTTCATCCACATCAGCCTCAGTGCTGAACACGGGGAGACAAAAAGAGCTTTTTAGTTTCAAAGATGCTGATAATCAGACTTCCTTTATTTTTATTTTTCAGTTTTATTTTGAAGCAATAACATTAATAAAAAGCAGATTTAAAAAAACGGTTCATTTGCTTCACAGAAACTTGACTTTAAGCTGTATGGATTTTCCCGTTCCGCCTCTTGGCTGCTACAGTAGCTGGCTGCGGGCGGATTAAAACTGGAGTTAAGATACAGATCTGGAGTTGATGAGTTTCTAGCTGCCTGTCTGTCCGCCTACCTGTCTGTCTGTGATGCCGTGTCTGTGTGAGTCGGGCCTGATTCCAGAGCGGTGATAGGATAGGTCACGGCCTGCTGGCTGCCTCCAGCGGCGCAGGAGAGAGAGAGAAGGAGGAAAAGACAGAGATATGGAAAAGAGGAGGACGGCAGGGGGAGCAGGTTGAAGGAGAGGGTGTGTGTGTGTTCATGTGTCAGGTTGTGTGTTTGTGATGACGGTGTGTGAGATAAGGCAGAATGGGGGGGGATAAGATGTGCTGAAGGCTGGATAAGCTGCACCTGGTTTGAGAGAGAAAATAAAAGATAAGAACACACAAAGAGAGATGTGGGGAAAAGGGGAGGTGGCAGGTCGCAGGAGTGTGTGTGTGTGTGTGTGTGTGTGTGTGTGTGTGTGTGTGTGTGTGTGTGTGTGTGTGTGTCTGTGTGTGTCTGTGTGTGTGTGTGTTAAGCTTCCGATATCTACCTACTGTCTCCTACTTCTCCTCACCCGCAGTCTCCCTCGCTAACCGCCCTCTTCCTCTTCACTCTCTCCTCTTTCTCTTTTTTGACAATGAGCCGACAGCAAAGAACAAAAGAAGACATAATACATGCAAGCCCTCCTCTCTCTGCAGTCAGGAAGGAGAGGAGGAGGAGGAGGAGACAGGAAAGAGGAGAGAGGTATGAGTAAGGCGCAACATGCAAGGCAATTGTCGTAATCAAATTATATAAAATAAAAAAGGAATAAATAAAAATAAGCTGTGTGGTTGCTCCAGAAATGTCAAACTTATGAAAGGAAGGTGAATCAGTGGGTGAGTTCCTGGATGTGAAATGGTATTAAAAAAAAAAAAGAGTTTTATTCATGATCACAGACCAAAGTTTTCAAAATGTGCAGACAAACAAGCCTTCTGCTGTTGTTGTCTTACTGACTTTCTGCACTAATAAGACAAGGTGACATTGAAAACAAAAACCCTCAGGTGACTCTGTGCTTCATCTCTTACCAACAACTGTTGAGCCGTCCTGTTTCCAGACTCTCTCTGTTGTCTTTAATCTGGACGCAGCGACCTGGAACTGCACTCGTAACGTATGTTTGGACCATAATTAGTTGGAACCAAGAGCAACGACCGATCACTTCAGAATTTAAAGTGTGCTGTTTAAAGTAATATCTCTTCTACTTAATTTAAAAACAAAAACAAACAGTAGAGATGTTGGCAAACTGCTGCTTTAACCAGTAGCAGCTACATCTAAGTAGAAGTCATTTTAAGTTCATATAGTGAGATATTAGATTAAAGGTTAGTTCTTTACTTAATGAACTTTTAAGTAAAGTTAAGTAAACCTGAGCCTGGTTCTTCCTGTTAAAAGGGAGTTTTTCCTTCCCACTGTCACCAAAGTGCTTGGTCACAGGGGCTCATATGATTCTTAGGTTTTTCTCTGTATGTATTATTGTAGGGTCTACCTTACAATATAAAGCACCTTGAGGCGACTGTTGTTGTGATTTGGAGCTGTATAAATAAAATTGAATTAAATTGAATTAAAAATAAACAACACGGCCACATATGCTAATTTGTCGCATCTTTCAATAGGAGCTTAGGTGGTTTCAGTCGACCAGAATGATTACTTTTATTTTGTTCTTGATTCTCTTTGGGATATAAATTCTTTGGACTGTTCACTGTGATGTCGTTCTGGGTCTGAAACCCAGAACGACAGCGAGTTACCCGCTCCCTCCGCTGCTTCATCTTCAGTTGTATAAACTCCAACATTATCACTCATACAGTGAGTGCTGCAGTGTATCTCCCTGGTTAACAAACTGGTACAAATGTGAGGCTAATGCTCCAGTTTGAGCTGTTTTTAGCTAAAACAGTTATAGCTGTAGTGGTTTCATATTTGTATTTTGTACGCTGAAAAGTTTGCTCAGCAGAGGGTTGTCCTGTGCTTCCCATTTGGCTATTATTGTCTGAAAGCAGGCTAGCGGCAAAGAATTCAGACACTGGAAAGAACAGACTGGACAAAAACTGTTGAAGTAGTCAGAGGAACCCCAAAGGTTAGCCAGATTGTTTGAGCCAACTTTTTCTTAGCAAATATGTTCACACACAACACTATTAATGTTACCAGCCATGCAGTTCATTCACATAAACAGTCATTTTTTTTTTTCAGCTCATTTGGTTTGAATGATGTTGACACAAAGGTGCAGTGGTTAGCACAAAACTTCCTTGTTCGAGACTGGAGGTGGAGTTTGCACGTTCTCCGGGTTCCTCCCACAGTCCATAGACATGCGTCTCAGGTTAACAGGTTGATATGGTCTCTCTCTAAGTGATAGACAGGTGACCTGTTTGGATGTTCACCCCATTATTACACAGATGCTTGTTAAAAATCTAACCTGCAGGAGTCCTGCTGCAGATATAAAGAGGAATGACTTAACCTTCTGAACTCTTTCATGGCATGCATTTTTAATTTCTCTTTGCTATTTGGGCTGATTGGGACCTGATGAATGTAAAAACAAAGTGTTACCAGACATTTTTTTTAACCTGATTTTTGTTTCTGAGAAAAATGAGATCCACATATGAGGACATTCATTTTAAATGTTGATAGATCAGTGGCACTATAATGTCCTCTTAAGTAGATATCAGGCCCTTGTAGAGCAAAAATAGTATTTTGATCTAGATAACCCAAAATGTGATGTCCACATATGTGGACGCCAGGTCCTAGGAGGTTAAGAAAGCAAAAGTAGTTACGCTTACATACAGATTTAACTGGCTAATTTGTGGATTGTATAGCATCAACAGGATTGCACTGGTTTTCCCTTTGCCTTACTTACACCAGATAATTAATGGTTGCTGATTATTACACAAAATAGGACTCCACACACACACATGCAGTGATCACACCCGGCCAGCGATTTCAGCTGCGGTAATTAAAGAAGCGTTAGCAGTGAGTGAATAAAACATGCATCAATCCCTCTTCCCTTCATTCGAACCCCCTCCTCCATCTTTTTTTCACTGTCTGTTCCTTTCTGTTTCCCCCACCCTGATGTAATTCTCCGGCATCTTCCTTTCCTCCAGTTCATCTGCCCCCCCACCCACTATTATTGCGCTGCTTTCCTCATCTCCTTCCTTGTTCCTGCTCTTGCTCTTTTCTGCCCTCATTTCCTCCTTTATCATAGTCTCCCTCCTCTTACTCTTCACCTCCTCCCATCAGACTCCAGCCTCTCCTCTCTAGCATTCCCCAGAGATGAACCAATGTGTGCAAGCTGTTGCAGCAGGAGCAGTACAGGTGTAGATAAAGCTATCGTGGTGGGGATGTGCTTGTCGTTTTTTGCACGCGCATACACACACACACACCTTGTAGGCACTGCAGGTGCTGCATCAAGATAAATGAGCCGTCATTAGCCAATCAGGTCAGCCGGTGGGAGGGCGATGGAATACCGAGAAACGAGATCAGCTAGTGGAGGTCAAGCCTCTGACAGGAGGGATGTGTGTATTTATGTGTGTGTGTGTGTGCTGCATGGTGAAAGTGAGAAGGAGGATTCCCTGATTAGATGTGAGCAAAGTTTTCTTCTCCTCCTGCTTTTTACTGCTCAAACTTCCCCTTCCTTCCTCTGTTACTGTCTCCCCCAACCCTCCCTCTCCCCACCAGCACTGCTCTGGGAAAGTTGAGCGTTGCTGAAGATTGTTGCACTGCAATTTGACGGCCTAATTGGTATCTGCGGCCGGTTGTTTATCTCTTCATGGTGACTCGGTGCAGTGAAGGAGACAGCGATTGAGG